TCTTATTGAAAGGTCTGACTCATGAAAGTCCATTTGACTCAAATTCTAAGAACAGTATTAGGATAACCCATAACCTAATTAACTTCTCTTGGGCACTTATAAGAAAGAATATGACTCAAAGAAACTTGCAAACTAACAGTTTCCTGTAATACTGTCTAGAAGAAAGGTGAGTCAAATAGGCATATAGAGGGTGGAGACAAAAGTCCGATATCAATAAAAAAAATTATTAATAATAAAACCCTGCTTATTATTTCTCCTAATATAAAAACTCACTGCCATGTTTTTTTTTAACCTCTTTGGCCATGAAATCCTTTAGGAATTTGATGAGAGCTAGAATCTACTCCCAAGAAAAATACACATGCACTCAGAATTGTGTATGTGATTTCAGAGGGTCTTGGGAAGCCACCCACGGTGCAAAGACCTCCAGGTCAAACTTTTTTTTACTGAAATGTTCATAACATCTAGCCAGATCATATATGAGATATTATGTTTTCTTCCCTGAGTGAAACTCCTATACATTTTTGTTGTGAAGCATCTAATTTGTGAGGTCTGACCAAAAGTTAAGTTAGGTCATATAACTCCACAGAAAAGCAGACAGTATATAATGAGAAAGTGGCATCACTCCAAGAGTTCAAGTATGCTAACACAAGTAGAATTGTTATTATCCTGGGAGGAAATTTTAGCCTATGGATCTCCAGAGTTATTTCAGTTATAAGTATTAGGAGATTCAACCACCAAAAATGAAGGGTAATTTACAATCGCTCTGACGGCAACTTTCAAGACTGTACTAGAAAGAAGAGATGCAGAAAGAACATGTGCCTTCTTATATAACATTGGTGTAACCTTGGGCTGCTGAAAATTTCAATAGGTTAAGATGTTTAAAATACCTCCTAGCTCAGCCCTTTCCACAAGGAATCAACAAATAGTACCTTGCATTATTAATGGAAAATTTCTACGGTGGATGTTGAGCTTAAATTTTGAAATTACTACTGATTTCAGTGCTACTTATACCACTGCAAAAGTTGTTTACTTTTTCTTTTGGAAAGGTCTTCTTTATCTGTCAAGACTATCTAGTATTAGAGCTTTTAATAAATAATTAAATTATAAATGGTTAAAGCAAGAGTATGTATGTGGTGGGGGGAATGTGAGGGTAGGTAATATAATTCATACCTTAATTAATCAGAGTAGAGGTTCAAGTTAACCTATAGTAGACATGAGAGAAAAAAGACTTTCTATTCTAGGTAAACAACTCAGCATGATAACAGAGCCAAATATTTGCATGGCATCCATTTTTACTTTCTTTAGAAGGAATACAAATCACTTTTACCTCTTTATCAAAATGGATTCTTGGCATTGACTATACTAAGGTCCACATTATAATACACAGCTGAATACAATCCCAGAATTACTATATTTCACAGTTACTTTTATTAAAGAAGAGTCATTTAACCACTGAGTCCAAAGAAGTAAAGTGACTTGTCAGGGTCATAAACAAATACACAACTTTTAGAATCCAGGTTTCAGATTCTCTGTCTTCTCTCTAAACCCATGTTTTTTCACCTTTTCACCATTTATTTCAGAGATTTTGACTGGAATATTATGCTGATTAAGCAGTAAATACTAGAGAACTGCCAAACAGACATTCCGAGCTAATAAAACACTGAAGCCTAGTGATCTACGACTCTGACCTTTCAAGAGAACCCTCACATCTGTGACATAAAGTGAAATGTGACTGAGGCTTCATTTGCAATGACACATGCTGTCAGACTGCTGTGCAGAATCAGGTCAGGCAGAGCTAGAGTGTCCAGGACCTGCTATCGTGGTCATCTACTCTGCTTCCCATAGCATGAATGAATCCTGCTCTACCAATTTGTAATTTCATGATTACAGACAAGATAATAATTCTTCAGGTTTTTTTCCTTCTGTTGAATGACTGAATCTTCTCAGAGGTCTGTTGTTGTCCTCTGTTTGCTCATTATTAGAGGGTGGGAAGAGAAAATTATCAAGGGGTTGAAGTGAGTTCTGAGAGGCTTTGTAGGTCCTAAATCAACTAGTTTAGGCTCAGACAGACAAGTGGTGATCGGAAGAAATTAGATGCCATTATAGAATTTCGCAGATGAGAGGTCCAAATGTCCGTGGGCAGGAAGGAAGCAGCTATGTGCAACAAGGAGGACTGTAGCCAGGCTCCTAATTCAGGTAGCCTCCACATCTCCACACCCACTAGCCCCTAGCACTCAGCTTACTAGGGCTCTACTGGACGCCCCTCCCACTTACTATCCAATGGACTTTTCAATGCCATACCTATTATGTGCTAGGTTCAGTTAAAACACAGACTTTCCTATCTGTGTGGAGCTATGGAGGCAACCTGAAGGACTCTGAGCAGAGGAAAAGTAAAATGATCAAATTTGGATTTAAAACAGAGCTCTCAAGTACTTTATCTATTCTTGCATTGTTTCACTTATTAAAGCATGTACCAATTTTGTAATTTGAAAAATATCAAATAAAGAAAAGGGCTCCTGCTAGCAATGTAGAGGAGAGCTTAGAGAATAGGCAAGACTGCTACCAGGGAGACTGGTTAGGAGAGTAATCAGTAACACAAGGGAGAAGTGAAGAAAGGCTGAAAGGAGGTAACATTAAAGGGAATAGAGAGGAGTAAAGAGACTCAAACGATATTAAGATAGTAACATCAAAAAGACAAATTAATTGTAGGTCAGAGAGAAAAAGGTAAACAGGAGAACTTCCAAATATGGGACTAGGGTGGATATTCAAGGTGGATTTATAAACAGAAAAAAGAGTGGGATAGAAAATTTTATGTATTATATGAACACTGCATACGTTACATGTTTTACAAAAATATGCACAGGAAACTCATCAAAATGATAGCAGTGGTTGGCTCTGCATGATATGTCAATCATTTTTTTTTTAACCTCATTCTTTCCTACATCTTCTAAATTTATTAAGAATATGTACTTTTTGGGACTTCCCTGACAGTCCAGTGCTTGGGACCCTGGTTGGGGTCGATCTCTGGTTGGGGAACTAGGATCCTACAGGCCGTGCAGTGTGGCCAAAAAAAAAAAAGAGAATATTTACTTCTTAGTAAATTTTGTATATTTCTGAAGCACACACATCTCAAAAAGTTTACCTTTATTAATAAAAATTCTATGGTTGTAAAACTCCTTTGAGAAAAACTCATCAAATGGCAAACCATTCCATATTTCATAAACATATTATTGATCCCTAATTAATTCCCATGTCTTTGTGAGATCGCATTGACTATGAAATTATAATGGCGAGCAATCATCCTAGTTGTGAGTTGTTTTTTTTTTTTTTTTTTTCCAATTCTGGAAATTCACTAGCTGAGAGAGGTGACAGAACTGAAAGCAGATATCTTGCTGACATTGGATTATTCAGTAAACACTGCAGACACAAACTGCATGCCTCTGCCTCAGGGCTTTGCCACATACATCTATCTGCATGACTGACTCTCTTACCTCCAGTGTCATGTTCTCAATATGACCTAGTATGATTATCCTAATTTTAAGAGTAACATGCCCCTGTCACCACCACCACCATAGGATTCCTGATCTTCTTTTACCTGCTTTGTTTTCAATATACTTATCACCTAATGTACAATTTATTTATTACATTTATTGTGTATCATCCCCTAGAATGTAAGTTCCTGAGATCATACATGGAGTTTTATTGTTTTTGTTCCCAAAGGTATCCCTATCACCAGAACAATGTCTAGCACACAGTGGATGTTCAATAAATATTTGTCGAATTAGTACATGTATGAATGAATAAATGCATGAGAGAATACATGAATAAAAGAATAAATTAAATAAATAACTATTGGGTTAAAAAAAGCACACTCAATTATTTTACAAATGAACATCAGTCATTAATACTTTTTGCTTTAGAAGTCACTGGTTCTATGCTTAAACATTTATAGAGACTAATTTAGTCTATGGGTTCAACAAAGTTTACTCTTTGTATACATATCTATTAAAATCTATTTCATATTCAATAAAGGTGAGAATTAATTATATATATATCAAATAACTTCTTTAATTAGTTAAATGTGTAAAAATTAAACAGTATAAGCTTAACAATAAATGATACAATAAAGTTTTACTTTTTGTAATCAGAGCTTCCAAACTGCCTCATTTAAAAATGTTCATTTATTACTGAGGACCACTGAGGAACTCTGTCTTACAATTTCTCAGTTAACCATGTGATAGGTTGCTTGGGGTTTTTTTTAATCGTTAGTAATGAAACACAAGAACGAGGGAAAAGGGACAAGAAGGCAAAACACACATTCCACTTACTCCAATTTTAAGAGCAATTTAAACTACTTTCACTTTACTATGTCTCAAAGTTATAGCACCATCTGGTGTTTACTATGCAGAAATGCTATGAGGGCGGGTCGTGCAAAAGTCCTTTGTCACTTAATTTTTTTTAAATGTTTAGTTAGCTGGACAAAATGATGCTAAGCATACAACTGAGTTGATAATGGCACAGATCACATGTTCAGTTCGGAAATATAGTAGTAAAAACTGAGAAATCAACATGGCATTAAAAGAATAAACCATCTAAATAACTTTCAAACAAGAATACTCTTCAAGAAAAAAAGGACAGAGGCAAAACATAAATAAGTTATTAAAAGAGGAAAATAAATTGAAAAACATTTTAGAACCGTGTTAATAGACCATTTTCAAAATCTGACAAAAGTAAATGATCACATAAAACAAAGAGTTTACATTTGAAAACCCAGGAGATCTAATTATAAGATTTCTTCATTACATAGCCTCTGTGCTTAACCTCTACAGATAGCATTATAATAAGGCCTTGGTATATTAACAACTCCCAGTAAATTACATACATTTTATCATACGAGGGTGTGACAATTTAGCTTATTCAGTATTTTGTAACTTGGGTAAATTTATTTAATGACTTAATGCTGCTGTCTCTACATTTACAATGACACCAACATTACTTACACCAATATAGGCTTTCCCGATATCCTAGGATGTCTTATCACTTCTGACATTGTCTCTTTTGTCTCTTCCATTCTCTCTTCATCACTCGAATCCACAACAAATATTACTCCGTAAGATTCAGCATAGTAATTCTTCCAGATTCCCCGAATTCTTTTTCCACCTCCCAAGTCAAAGATGGTGACTTCAAACTTTCCTTGTCTAAGGTCAATTTTGGAAAATCCAACGGTAGGTGCTACATCTTCAGGATACTCTGTTTCAAATGATATAAAAGAAAGAATCTTTAGACCTTAAATTAATAACACTAATTTAACTTCACAACTTAAATGACATAAATGTGTTATTCATCATACTCTAGTACTAAATAGAATGTTTATTATTTGCTTACACAATAAGCATTACATCTAAGCACATTGGTTTGGGGGAAAGGTAGATACTATAAAATATCCAACTAGAATTTACACTCCTTGCAGATAAGAATTTCTGTCTGTTTTTTTTGTTTGCTTGTTTGTTTTTATTGATATAACCCCAGTTCCTAAACTAATGCCCACCATATAACGGGTACTTAATAAGGATCTGTAGAATAAACAAATGAACTCTTGCCTTTAAGGCCACTGACTCCCCAAGTTACAAACAATAAAAATGTCAACCTTCAACACCACAGCCATCCCCAAGGACCATTACAACCTCTGTGGAGTTATAAAGAAAAACTAAACATTTAGAAAATAGTCTAGAACAACCAAATAATGGGAGAAGCTATGAAGAGTATAGGACCTTTCTTTTTTAATTAACTGAATTAAATCTATAATTGCAATAAAGAGACTTTTAAGGACAGCTTGCAAATACAAAGAGTAGATTTTATTTTCTTCTACAAGAATAGAATACAGGATATTCTCATAAATTTATAATTGAATTTCTTTGGACTTCTGCATATGACAGCACAAAGAAGAAGGTACAGGATGTATACAATTATAACTGCCAGAGAGGTAATGACAGTAAGAGATTAAAAAGATCACTAAGGTTCAAGACTTGAACTAGGAGCTGGGACCTAGACCTTAAAGCTCGGTAGGATTTAGACAGTCAGATGAGTGACCTAAGTAATAGAAATGGTAAAAGCAAGATGCACGCACAAGTTGAACACTGTAGTTGGAGCAAACCCTTAAGCCTGAATGTACAATGAAGAGGGTTCTGAAGATAGAGAATTGGGAGCCACGGAAGGTATTCTAGCAGACCAATAACATAATTAAGGTGACTTAAGTAGTCTTTCTTCAGATTCATCTTTGCAAAAGTCTCTAGAACGGACTGAAAATGAGAGTGATAGCCACTTTTTGGAGAGGTATGAAAATAAAAATAGAAGAATGGCAAGAGAGAACTCATGAAAGATTAACAGAACCAAGTGACTCAGTGGTTACAGAGAAGAGTTCAAACTTCATGTCTGTCTCTTCCATTCTCTCTTCATCGTTGGAATTCACAACAAATATTACTCCACTGTACTTTGTTTACAGCTGCACGGTCAATACAGTGGCCACCAAACTACATGAGGCTTTTAAAACTTAAATCAATTAAACTTAAATAAAATAAAAAAATTCTGCTCCTCAGTTGTTCAAGCTGTATTTCAAGTGCTCAAAAGTCACATGTGGCTGGTGGCCCACCCTACTGGACAGAGCCAATATAGAACATGTCCATCACTGCAATAGCTCTACTGAACAACACTGGTTTAGAAGGTCTTATTCCCACATTCAGCAAAACATTTGCTATTACAAAGATAAATTTGAGGGCTTCCCTAGTGGCGCAGTGGTTGAGAGTCCGCCTGCCGATGCAGGGGGCACGGGTTTGTGCCCCGGTCCGGGAAGATCCCACATGCCGCGGAGCGGCTGGGCCCGTGAGCCATGGCCACTGAGCCTGCGCGTCCGGAGCCTGTGCTCCGCAACGGGAGAGGCCACAACAGTGAGAGGCCCACGTACCAAAAAAAAAAAAAAAAAAAAAAAAGATAAATTTGAGAGGCATTTTCTGTTAGGCTTAGGTGTGACAGAGAAACAGACTTGCAATGTACCATTCCCTTTCAGCAAGCATCTTAATGCAGTTTACACAGCTCTCTAGAAAGTTAATAGACATCACAAGTCAAATTTTTAAAAGACCTGCCTTATCTAGAAGGAGAAAAAGGCAAGTTTAGAAGCAATATAAGCAGCCATATATTCCAAAAACAGAATTAAACTAGATATTTAAAAATGTGGATCTAGTCCAGGCCAGAACTGGCTTCACAGTTAAAATAGGCAGCTGTCTTTGAGTATGATTTGAAACGTACCCCCAGGAAATTATCAGTGAAAATAAATCAACTATCCTGAGGAAGGGATAAGGGAAATAACACGTACAGAATACCTACTCAGTACCAGGACTTTGTTAGGCATTAGAATGCAAAGATGAATAAAAAAGGGTTGCTGTCCTCAAAGAATATCCAGTACAATTCAGAGAGAGCTGTGTTATTCCCATTAATGGGAATAACACAAGAACCTATATGTTCTACAAACAAGTCTGGAGAGCACAGTGTGAAGGTATTATGAACTGCACTTTTATGTCCCTGCCAAAACTCATCTGTTGAAACCCTAATCCCCAATGTGATGGTATTTGGAGGTAGGGCCTTTGGGAGGTAATTAGGTTTAGGTGAGGTCACCAGGATGGAGCCCCCATGATGGAATTAGTGCCCTTATAAGAAGAGACATAAGAGAGCTTGTTTCCTCTCTCTCTTTCCACCACATGAGGATACAAGTGAGAAGATGGCTGTCTGTAAACCAAGAAGAGGGCCCTCACTAAGTACCCGACCATACTGGCACCCTGACTGCAGCTCCTAGCCTCCAGAACTGTGAGAAATACCTGTTGTTTAAACCACTAAGTCTATGGTATTCTGTTATAGCAGCCCAAACTAAGATGGAGGGCATTCAAGAGAAAAAGGGTAAAGAGGAGCTAGAAGTGAGTCATGGCCTAGAAAGCCTTCAGAGAGGAAATGAAACAGGAGTAAAGTCTTAAAAGACAAAAAAATTATAACAAAGAAGGGAGAATAAAATTCCAAGCAGGGGAACAGATAAAATGATGGCACTATTCCCAGGAAACCAATTCATATTAAGTAATTTTTTCAAGGTTACATGGTAGACAGAGCCAGGACTCAAATTCAGGTATTCAGGACTTCAAAAGCTGTTTCTTTTGATACATGGAACACCCTCCCCAATTTCTCTATTCTTTCCTCTGGCTCCTACTCATGATTCTGTGTTTCAAGACTCAAGACTAAATGTTCAGGTTACGACCTTTTCGGTAAATCCTTCTCTGATGATTCCTTCCTACTTTCAGTATCACCTACACCATCTATTGTAATATTCTGTGTTCTTGCTGGTCTCCACAATAGGCTATACCTTCCCAATAGCTGGTAACTATCTTTGTATCCTTAGCACTCAGTACAAAGCATATAACTGCTCAATACTACAACACCAGACTGCTAGGACAGCTGAAGCTGCTATCGTTATGTCCATTCTTCCATATATTTACCCATCCATCCATGCTTATAATCATTTATTGAGGGCCTGTTGTAAATCAGGCATCATACAAGAACCAGGCGTTCAAACACATATGGTCCCTAATCCTGAGGATTTCAGTAAAGCATATGTGTTAAGACAATGCCTAGAAAGTTCAAGATAAAATGAAAATATATAATCAATAACTATTTATTGAGCTTATGTTATATGCTAAGTACTATGCAAGGTCCTAGATATACAAAGATTAATAAAATTTATTAATATTTTCTGATCTTATAGAGCACTTATATAGATGGAAAAAGAAGAAATATATACATAAACAAATAACTACAATATAATAAAGATGTGTTAATGTCAACAATGCTAGGGACCAATTTACACAAAGAATTTTCCCACCCAAAATAACAACAGTTCCTTAGAACTATTAGGAAATAATACTGGAAAGTCAGAGAGTCCTGGATTTTTTAGCTGAGCACATGGCTGTTCAGGATAAAGAATGCAACCCCCAGTCTCTATGGCAGCTAGGGGTGGCCATGAGAACAGGTTCTAGATAATGTGCTGGTGGTATACTGTTAAATGTTTAACTGGCTTTGGAGGCTGTGGAACTCTGATAGGTAGTGTTTTCCAATTGTCATGGTGTAAATAATCCTGCTGTGGACTATTTCAAATTACCAATATGAGGCACCTGAACATAGAGTTTGGAGGAGAAGTGCCTAACTGGCTCTCGTTGCCTGATATGAGCCAATAACAGCAAGTAGCAACCAGCTCTGGAACACCACGGGTTCTAGCTAATGGCCTATGAACTGCAGTGATGTGGTGGCTTCTGGTTCACATACTTTAAAAAAAGAGAAGGACAGCCTCCCTTTGTCCTTTACTTCTTCCTTCCAGCTGAAATGCACATGTAGTAGTGAGACACCTTGGACCAGGTAGGCAAGGGAGAACACTAGGAATGGCAAAGCAAACAGGAGAAGGAACTTGAGTCTCTAATACCAGAGAGCTGCTATGCCAGCCCTAGACTACTTTTCCCTGTGCTGTAATATGAGAGAGAAATAAACTATTTTATTAAACCACTGTTATTTTAGGCTTACTTGTTAGCACAACTGAACCTATATCCTATTAATGCAATCACTTTGACAGCCATGAAGAAGAGAAGCTGATTGAAGGAAGTGAACCTCAAGATAGGGAAAGTACTCTTAGATTAGGAAGCTATAATAAAATTATATTATATTGGACACAGACAACGGCAACACAGTAGGAGAGGAAGATTATCTCAAAAGAAAGGAGGAAATATACAATAAAATTTTTTTTTAATTTTTTAATAAAAAACAAAACAGAAATAAGCTAAGAGAAGCCATGGGAGAAATGTTTTAGGAAGACTGCCTACTAAGGCATGGCCTGAACTGGGACACCAAAATAAGTAAAACTGCCCTTGGGGAATTTATAGTCTGGAGAGGTAGAGTAATACATAAAAAGAGGGGCAATTAAGTAGCTATACAAGTAGATACAGATAAGAGTAGACATAAACAGAGGATGTGGTCAATTGTACTGACGGTGGTAAGGGGTGAGGGCAGCAGGAGATCAGAAGAAACTTCATAAAGAAGGAGACTATAAGACAAACAAGCATCTTTAGAGATAAGTAGATAACGTCTTTAAGGATAAGTTGATATTCTCTTTAATAAGGCAAGTGGGAACAGCATAAACAAAATCACAAAGGTATCAAAAGGCTCAATTTGAAAAACTTCAAGTCGTTCTATATAACTGGAATCTTTAAAAAAGAAAAATGGTAAGAAATCAGTCACTGGAGTAGGCTGAAGAGTAAATATGAAATGAAAAACAAAAACAGAGCCAGAGGGGAGCTCAAAGTTGAAGGCAGCTTTGACTTTTTGTTCATGATGTGACACTTTGAAGATTTTCTAAACTCAGAAAAAGAAACTAATGGAGGTGGGATTCAGAAGAAAAAGGCCTGATCGAAAGAGTTTGTTCTAAGTACACACAAATAATTAGACAGTCTGATTAGCACATTCCTGGATCCTGCTCCCTTGAACATAAGGCTTTGAAGGAATGAAAGAGAAAACGTTTAGATAAGGTTTCATGGCCTGCAGGCCAAATCTGGCTGGCCACCTGTTTTCACATGGCCCTCAAGCTAAGCATGTGTTTTACATTTTAAAATAATTTCCAAAAAACCCCAAGGATAATGTTTCATAACACATCAAATTTTAGGGTCTATAAATAAAGTTTCATTGGAACATGGCCACGCTCGTTTGTTTACATATTTTCTATGGCTACTTCTGCACTACTATGTCAGAGCTGTGTAGCTGGGAAAGGGACCATATGACTCTCAAAGTCTAAAATATTTACTATATGGATCTTTACAGAAGAAGTTTGCAAACCGTTGGTTTAGATGGTGACAGTGAGTGCTTTGCAAGGATATAACCTAGGTGACAGCATGAGGGGTACAAAAAGGCTTTAGAAGCCTCCTCAAACAATAATATATAGTTTGCAACTAATTGGGGGTGACAAAATGTTTTTCTCCAACAGCAAATTTTTCAAGGTGTCAATTTTCTTTCATGAATTTCCATAAATAAAAGCTCCCTATCTGTCATGCATGATATCTACTTGCAAAATCCATTTTCAGGAACAAATATATGTTAGGTTTTCTCCCAATTCATACCCTCAAGATGCCTGGCTCGTGCTACATCTTCTGGGTACACAACAAACTCACTAGTATAGTACCTCTATATTGTAGTTACAAAGCATTAAATTAAGACTAAATAAATACATCCAATGAGATGTAATATAAATGACATAAAACCCTTTAATGTATCTTTAATGTAACTGTAAAAATTACACATCATGTTGAAAAAAAAATCAAAAAATGCAAAGAGAACTGTGCTGGCTAACTGTATTTCTACCTCCCTTTCATTTAGCTGTAGCCCTGTGACTAAATTCTGGCCAAGAAAATGTAAGTAGAAGATAGGGATCCTTAAAGGCAAGGGCATGTCCTTTTTTTACTTTTTCCTTCCTACTGGCTAGAAGACAGCTGAGATCCCTCTTAGCTGATCAAAAACCTCGAGGAGCCTCTGCATTCATTCAAATCTGAAACATAACAGCTGGTACTATTAAGCCAGAGTCTATTCACCACATTAGCCTCAAGTATACTAAGAATATAAAGTAATAGAGTACACAGTATATGTACCCAATGAATATGTAATAAAGCAATTTAAATAAATAAATCAGAGTAATTTAATAATAAATTTTTTCAGCTTACCTCCTTGGATTCCCTTTGCTGTTGCCGTTTTACCAGCATTATCAAGTCCCACCATCACAAGAGTCACCTTTCTTAAAACAATAAAAATTAAAAAATCACTTTGAGTCAATTAAGTATTGAGGTAAAAATAAAAGCAAATTCATTCATCCAAGCAACACTTAAGGAGCATCTATATGTACAAGACAATCTGCTGGATGCTAGGGGGTACAATGATGAATAAAATATATATTCAAAAAGCAAAATTCTTGAAAAATACCTGTAAAGTATCATCCTTTTGTTCACTAAGCAAAAAAAAAAAAAAAAAGGGAAACTGTACAGTAGATAACCTGAAGGATAGAGAAGAAATAAGGGAAAGAAGAGAGAAAGCAAGGAGGGAGATAGATCCTAGCATGAGTTATCTATCAATCATTCTAAAGACTCAATTTTCTAGTTAACTGAAGTCTAAGGATTAGCACAAATTTGTTTTTTCTTGTGAAATTACATAAGAAAAGAATGATTGTTAGGTTCTTGACACTACTAGTATGCTCAACTGTTTTTATATATGCAGCACCTTACCAAGTATAAATCTTAAACATAGTATAGTAACATGATTATTAACCTAAGCGCTAACATATTTTGAAAGAGGGTTCCTAAATTATAAAGCTTAAAATGTTTCTGATGATATAGCTAAACTTCACAGAGTTAGAAACAAAATACAATCCAGTTCAATTTTACTATTGAAGAAACATAAGTCCAGAGTCATAAGATAAGACAATGAATTGGTTACAGTCAGAACCAGAACCTAATTCACCTAACTCCTACGAACTTCTCAAAACTGGGGCAGGTTATAAAGGAACAAACCTACTATACTGGTCCTATTATCTCAGCGATTCACTCCACCACTAAAGCTCATTTCTGTTCCAGGCTTAACTACTGCTTAGTATAAATGATGAGACCATCTATTAACACCATTTTGGGAATATAGAGAGAAAGCCACAGCATAACTGGGCCACATTCCCATGGGGTAGAGTCAGGGTTTCTACCAAGTACAGTCATTCTTCACTGGCAATCATTCCAAGAAGGGTTAAAAAACAGAACTTAGATGGCAAGAAAGGGTGTTTTTTCATCTGTCTAGGCCTGGCTTTCTTGGATCTGGACTTCTTTATTAAACAAACAGTTACTGACCATCTTCTGTATACCATACACCAGTGTTCTAGGTACCTGAGATACACTTGTTTATTTAAATAACCACAACAACAATGAAAAACAAAAACTGATAGAGAAACCCTTCCCTTATTAAACTTACATTTTAGTTACAGGAGACAAACAATATAATACACATAAGAAATAAGTAAATTATAGGTTATATCATACGTTAGTGGTGATTAGGTACTACAGAAAAAAGAATAAAGTAGAGCAGGATATGGATTGTAGTTTTACATAAGGTGATCAGGGCAGGCCTCACTGAGAAAGAAGGTAAAGTCTGAGCAAGGCCTTGAAGGAGGGAGTTACTTATGCAAATATCTGGGGCAAGAGAGTACAGCTGGGGCAAAGGCAAGGAAGCCAGTGTGGTAAAACCCAGTGAGACAGGAGCAGGGAAGAAGGACAGGAAGTCAGAAACGCCATCAGAAGCCAGATAACGTAGGGCCTTGTAGGCCATGGTGAGGACTTTGGTTTTTGTAAGTGAAATTAATTTACTCTTCATGTTAATTTCCTTTGTTATCCAGGAGCCTTAGTCTTTTGTAAATGCTTCAACCATCCCTATATCCACCATGAAGAATAAACGAAAGTACGTCTCTGCTCCAGTCATTGGTAAGTCACAATTAGCATCCCCACACCCCATTCCCAGTCAGTCAGTGGTGGGGTCAGTGGAAATGCCAAAGAGGCACACAGCAGATTATGAATTACGGATCTGAGGTAGAATGTGAGGTCTGGGTACTTCTATCCACAGGAAAGTTTTACCTGTATTATCAACTTTGAAAAATGTTTACTTCTTATGGAAGCTTTGAGATATGTAGAGTATAACTCTACTATTTTGTTTGAAGAATTCATAACTTCCAAATATCAAAGAACAAAATTTAAGTACAAAATAATTTCTTAAATAAAATATAATAAATGACTATCCAAAAAAGATGGATTGTATAGCATTTAAACAATATTTTGGATAACTGAAGTTACTAGATATATAATGAATTAGACCATAATAGTAAAGCTAATTCAATTGCTCATTAACAATTTATTTCAAGATCTACAGTGCTTCAAACATCACCATGACCAAAACAATTACTTTTGGGGAACAAATCCCCATTTTCTGCTTGTTTGCATCACTTATTCTGTAACTATTGATTAGGCACCGATTACACAGTAGCAAACAAACATCCACAATCCCCAGCCATCATAAACCTTAGAGCCTAGAAAGAAAAGAGGCATTAGAGATTTATGTGTGATGACTGTTGTAAAGGGAAAGCACAGGCAGGCACAGGAAGAGATAGCAGCTGACCATGCCTATTCTAGAAGTCACAGGAGACCATACTGCAAACATATATCAACTGAGTCAGCAGTTCCTAGGAACATCATGGATCCTTTTCCCATCCCTTATGAGCCAGAGTAAAAAATCTCAAATATACCTTTTTAAGGAAAATGGCCCTTCATTCTCTACTACAAAGGTAGCATTTTATGTTTCCCCCGCTCCATTCTTGTCAAGATTTCAGTTAAAAAAAAAAAAAAAATCACTGTCCAAATAATTACTTTTACACACTTTGAAACATTACTCTTAAAGCAGCTATCAAGGAAAAATGTTAGATTTTACCTTAAAAGCTTTCTTTTTTTAAAACAGAATATTAGGTTCAAACAAAAGAAGTTCTTCAAACATGAAAATCACTTTGGAAAATTATAATCATGCTGAGACTGGCACGAAATAAGTCTCTCTGGATTTCTATTTTTATTTTGACTACACTTGCAAGTACACAGTTAATCTTTATGATCATTATGCCATATACTTGAAAACACAGCTTTAATTAAATATTTGAGGTAATTAAAGCCTTAATGAAAAAACATAACATTAGCAGTACAAATGAAATCACAGCATGAATTACTGCAATGCCTGATAACAAAGCATTAAATTTATACTTTCAGAATAGAATGGGTTTAAAAGGCTAACAATCACCTAACACTCAAAATTCTATGGAACTCTTTAACCACTGAATATATTCAATCTAACACATTTTAAAATGTACATGTCATTATAACTTTTAAAAATAAGATAAATTATCACTGATTGGGAACAGTTTGGCTGTGATGCTATGTAACAACAGAGAAATAAAAAACTGTTTTTTAGTCTTATGATTATTGATCAAATACACTAGTCCTTCAATTGAAAAAATAATAAACAGTGTTATTAGGTTTATAGTGTCTAGAAAGTTGACACTAGCAATAAAAGCAATCATTTAGTCATTTGGTCAGGCAGTAATTCAATAAAAGTACATAAGGCATTTGAGTACTATGGACACAAAAATGCCTGAGACATCATTTCTATCCCAGAGTGCTCATCATCTAATGAGAATGACTAAAATGTAAACAAATATTTGTACATTATGACACTAAGACAGTTTAAAATGCTTATCGATATATACAAGACGCTAAAGGAATACAGAGCAAGAAGACTTTATTCAGCCTAGAGATACAGGAGAAGGTCTGGGAAGCTTCTTACACAAGGTGATGATGCCTCAGCTAAGTTCTTAAAATGTAGAAGTTTGCCGAGCAAGGGGAAGGTGAAAATAGGAGGAAGGATGAAGAGGTTCCAGACTAAGAACACTGCCTGAGAAGACACCACACCAAGGAGGTAAGAACTGGCAGGGTGCTGAGTTGCTGAACCCAGGCATTAAGAGCACATCTCAGGAAAGCAGCCTTAAGCAAAAGGAGAACACGCTTGTTACATTCATACACAATCACAACTCAATACAACTGTGTATTGAGTCTAAAAGGAACCCGATATACTTCTACTTAAGGAACCAGTATCATAATATAGGTAATAATGTGACCTTCCCAGAAGTTGAAAGTGATCACTTAGCTCTTATTACAGTTATCCCTGAGTCTTGAATTATATACCAAACTAGAAAGACTGACATGGAAGGACTCTATTGTAAGATGTACAGTATGTTTCTACTAGTAACAAGTAACATATAGGGATTATGGGTATTCTGATAGATAGCCACAAACTTGGTGTTAGAGCAGGCTGTGTTCAAATCCCAAAATTGCCATTTCCAAGCTATATGACCTGGGACACATTATTTAACTTCTCAGAATTTCATCAGTAAAATGGGATAATAAAAATATCCATCCCATAGGGATGTGGTGAAATTACATAAGACATGCAAGTAAGGTGCACAATGCTTGTGGCACACAGTAAGTGCTCAACCTATAGCTGTTCTTATTACAGAATAAAATTCAAGACAGGGAGTCTACAAATGAGACCAGCGAGATGGGCAGGGACCAGATTATAGAGGAGGATTAACGGGTTCAGTTTTGCACATGTCGACAGTAGTGCTTGTCTCACAATGAAGTCTGAAGCTGGAGGAGAGACCTGGACTGGGATTATGAGACATATACGTGGTAGTTAAAACTATAAGAACAGATGAAAGAGCACAGAAGGAAGAAGAGCCAGGGGACAGGGGACACAGAACCCCAAGAACCTTTGAAGAAACCCTTAAAATTGTAGCCAGAAAGAAATGACACCAAAGAAATGGCAGCGATGGGAAAAGTTTCCAGAAGGGTTAAGAGATGAACAATATCAAATACTACAAAGTTTTGTAAAATAAAAGTATCTTTTTGGTAATTGCCACAAATTAAGTACCTCAGAAATAAATGCTCTCAGCTTTTCCCAAACCCTGCAATACCAACGCTTTGAATTTATATGGCGTGTCTTGATAGTTCAAAGCTATTTTACCCTATCATTTGTCTTCATGCTGTCCCTGCAAGTAGAGCAGATACAAGTTACCCAAGGTTACAGTGCTAATAAAAATTAGTTAACAGCAGTTTCCATGGGAAGTTTAAAAACAATGGTTTGTAAAAATAATAATTATTATTTTAAAAG